AGGACGCTCGGCTAAATTTGCATTTCAGGCCAACGGCGAATGGCATACTTGAAGTGTGCCCCGTGCCGTATGGGGGACATACTTGTGCTTTTGAAAATCGCTCATCGTTTACCCGAAGTTAAAACTTACTGGATGCCCTGTCCTTTTATTTGCTAACTCTGGCCACCTCCTGGTTCCCCCGCGAGACCTCGGAGAGGGCACCCCGGGTGCAGGCGCTTCAAACGCCCCTGCCCCGAGGCAGCACAGGGGACTGCGGAGCCGCCAGGCCCCAGCCGCGGGGCACGTGGGGCCGCCACGTCGTCCAGCCCTTGGGCGCGAAGGCACCCGCGGTTTGCGCGAGCAGGAGAAAAGGGGCGGAGCTCCCTGGTCGCCCAGCACCCGGAGAAAGCACTCTCGCCAGAGCCGAGGGCACCCGCGTCTTGAAGACGGGCCTGGGGCCGCACGCACGAGTGAGCACAGCAGTGAGCGGGGGCAGGAGGGACGAACGGGGCTCATCGGGAAACTTCACCGCCGACCCTCAGGATGCGTCAGTGCAAAACGTAAAAACTAGACACTGGTTATCAAGTTGACTGTGTTAGTTGGTAACGAAATTAGCACACACTTAGCTGCTTACAACAACGCCCATTTCTCAGGGTCTGCGGGGGTCGGAAGTCCAGCGCCGGGTGTCGGGGCCTCGGCTCAGGGCCCCACGGGGCTGCCTGCGCAGACAAAGGCTCCACTGGGGAAGGACCCGCTTCCCAGCTCCTTTGACTGTTGCTGGAACTATCTCCTTACTCTCGTAGGGCCGGGGTCCCGGTTTTCTTGCTGGCCACCCCACGCACGTGCTTGTCCCAAGGCCCCTTCACAGACAGTTCACAACCTGACTGGTTGCTTCACTCTGGCCTTTCTAGGGCTCTCCTGATTAGGTCAGGCCCACCTGGCAGGATCTCCCTTTCGATGAACTCAAAAGTCAATTGATTCGGGGACCTTAATTACATGTGAAAAAGCCGCCCACTTTTACCAAATCCCACCCACACTCACGGAGTTACACAGGGTGTGTCACTGGGCGCAGGGGTCTTGGGCCACCTCAGAATTCTGGTCATCCTGAGAAGACCTAAGGTGGGGTTTAGGGCGTGGGCTCTGTTGGCAGAGATTGGGCTCGACCCCCACCCCCTGCTGCTACTCATTGGGCTGTCGTAAGTTAACCAGCCGTTTTGTCTGTCCAAACCTCAGTTTCCCTGTCAGAAAAGGGGGGTAACTCTTCGCTCACAGGATTTATGGGCAGATGAAATGAAGTGAGCAGGAATGCGTCACCCCGGGGGTCCCACACTGGTGGCCGGAGGGCTGGATTGAGAACACAGGCTTCTCTTACGCGGCCATCAGTGTTTTACAATTTTAAGAGTCTTTCGGGGCGCCTGGGTGGCTCAGTTAAGCGTCCGACTTCGGCTCAGGTCACGACCTCACGGTCTGTGGGTTCAGGCCCCGCGTCCGGCTCTGTGCGGACAGCTCGGAGCCCGGAGCCTGCTTCGGATTCTGTGTCTCCCTCGCTCTCTGCCCCTCCCCCCGCTTACGTTCTCTCTCTCTCTCTCTCTCTCTCTCTCAAAAATAATTAAAATCATTTAAAAAAGCAAGAATTTCAAAGAATTTGCCGAATTTAAACATCAGGGCATTTTCACTAAAATCTGGTGTTCTCCCGCCAGGGTGGACTGGGTTTTATGGAGCCACACCTGACTCGGTCCCCGCGGCTCGCGGCGGGCGCGCTGAAGGCCGCAGGGGCGTCACACCCCCTGAGCCTGTGCCCGGGCCCGAGTCTTTCCAGCAGGACTCAATTCACAGTGAAAAGCAGGCCTCCCGTCTGAGGGTGTCCGCTCCCCACTCTGCGAAGGCGGCTGCTGTCACGGGTGAAACAGGGCCCCCCAAATTCGCGTCCCCCCCCCAAACCGCGGAACGTGACCTTCCACGGAAGCAGGGCCTTCGCGGTGCGACTGGCTGCGCTACGCGAGGTCACGCTGAGCGGGCGGCCACCCGGGTCTCCGCTCCCTCGGCGTGCCGGTCTGCGACACGGGCGGATCCGGGGGGTCTCCGGCGCCTGCCAGACGTCCCGCCGTGGAGCTGGCGTGGCCCGTGGCCGGGCGCGTGGCCGGTGGGTGCCGCGCCCCGGCGTCTCTCTGCTGCCTGGAGCGCTGCTGTGTGTGTCTCGGGGCCACCACGCGCGGGGCATCAGGACCTGTCCCCGTAGCCCTGGAGGCCGGACGCCATCACCGGGCTGGGGGCGCCAGACCTGCCTGTAGCGCCAGTCAGCGCCCGCCTGGGTCCTCCAGGAAAACGTGCCCACCTCAAGGCCCCCGGTCACGTCCGCAAAGACGTGTCTTCTTTTTTCTTTTTAATTTTTTTTTTTAACGTTTATTTATTTTTGAGACAGAGAGAGACAGAGCATGAACGGGGGAGGGTCAGAGAGGGAGAGGGAGACACAGAATCCGAAGCAGGCTCCGGGCTCTGAGCGGTCAGCACAGAGCCCGACGCGGGGCTCGAACTCACGGACCGCGAGATCACGACCCGAGCCGAAGTCCGACACTTAACCGACCGAGCCACCCAGGAGCCCCAAGACATGCCTTCTAAATAAAGTAACATTTGCAGTTTCCTGCGATTGGGATCTGGTATCGTTGGGGGCCGATCTCTGGCCCGTGACACTTGTGCGTGTGGAAAGGCCCCCAGACCACGCTGTGTGAGAACCCTCTCCACCCACACCACCACAGGAACGCTCTTCCAACACTCACGAGATGGGCCTTCCAAGTGATGGGAAAGCCCTGAGTCTCTAGAGCCTAAAATGTCGGTGGGCCCTACAATCGGTGACACTGCGGCTTTGGTGAAGGCCCACAGCTCATTTAATCCCACCTACACCCCCTGAGGCCACGAGAGATCAGAGGTCAAATAACTCCCAGAGGTCACGCGACGGCCCAGCAGTGGCTGCGGTTGGTACTGAACCTGGTTTTGGCAGAGGCCCTGGGGGCTTTGGGTCACAAGAGAAAATGAAGCCAACTCAGGTCGCAGGCTTTGACGAAACAAGAATTTAGCGGGTTGTATAACTGGAAAGTCAAAGTAGCACCGGCTTCAGGCTCAGCTGGTTCCAGGACCCAAACTGCGACTTCAGTTTCCCTTCACTGTTGAGAGCCCGCAGGTTCAAGTCCCAGCTCTGCCAGGAAACCTTCAGTGATCCTGCGCGAGGCTCCTCTCTTCCCGCAGCCTGGGGCGCGGCGGGGGGGGGTCGGGAGTGGTACATCTTGAGGGTTACCAGGCACCTGGCATACGGTCAATGCTGGAAAAATGTTGGCTCTTCACTCCTGTCGCTATTGACAAAGTAAATAAATGAATCCTCACCAGACAACCAGGGACTTAACGACCAATTATCCTGGGTTGAGGCTGAGAGCAAATGCACACTGCCACCAGGGGGCGGCACAACATAAACATTGCTGCACCAGCTCTCCCCTCTCCCTTGGGAAACGCGCCTACTGCCTCCTTCAAGTTCCCGCTGCTCTAACTGGCAGGCATCTTCGAACCCCTTTAGGGCCCAGGTAGGGGTCAGGGTGGTCCCGGTCCCACAAAATGCCCCTAGGCTGGTGGAGATATCAAAGAGGGGAGTGGTGGTGGACAGAGACTTACCAAGCCATATTAGAGAAAAACATGCCCTTTATACATGTTTCTCTGTATTTGAAATCCCCTCAATTAATTTTTTCTAGAACATTGAAGTAGTTGGAAAAAATATCGCAAAATTGAAAAGTCGGTGTATTAAAACACAGCGTCGTTTTAGTTACACACACACACACAGCCACACACACGCGCGCACACGCATTCTTTTGTCTAAATTTAAACGACAAAGAGAATGTATCATTCTGTCCCCAGTCCTGACTCTGCGAACTGTATTTCCTGCATTGGTTTCCTGCTGGGGATTTGCTGAGCTCTCCCTGGAGAGTTCATGTGGCAAAGAGCCTCTGGCAACATCGGAGAATTCTAGGGGCTCACTGGACGGAGTTCTGTGGGGTTAAGAGGGAGGCAGAGTGGAGCAGGGCCAGGGGGCCCCCCAGCCAGCCCCCCCCCGCACTGTACCCCCACGGCCCCACTGGACCCCACACCCGTCCGGGACCAGCCCCCTCCCCTGAGCCCCGCTCACGGTCTGTTTCCCCGCGGCCGCCAGAGGGCGCCGGTGAGCACCGGCTCGAGGAGGTGCCAGCTCTGCCCGCGGCCCTCCGGGGCTCCGCGGTGCCTCCCCCGGGAACCTGCAGGCCCGCTCCCTCTCTCCCCATCGCTCGTTCGGTTCCACTCAACACGGGCCTCC